TGAGGCAAAACCGTGGGGGCGACACAAATAGAGAGAAAGGGAAGAGTAGTAAACAATCAAATATATACTCTCCCATTCACTCCTATAGGTTTTGGATGAGAGCTTATCATTGCACTACACTCAAAAAAATTTTTTGTCTTGTTTCTAGTCTAAATATCTAAACTTTCTTATATCAAGAGGCATTTTCTAGACAAGCAAAACATATTGTCTTGTTTTGAGAAATTATATGCCAATAATAAGTGAGTTTTTCCTTAAAACAAGCAAAATAATCTGCCAATGGGGTAAGCAAAATAATCTTGCTTTTTCTTTTGACGTAAGATTATTTTGCTTACCCCATTGGCAGATTATTTTGCTTGTTTTAAGGAAAAACTCACTTATTATTGTCATATTATTTCTTAAAACAAGAAAATATGTTTCTTGAATATTCTTCTTAATTTAGGAATTTTCAGATATTTGGACTAGAAACAAGACAAAAAATTTAAGTAAGAAAAGCATTTTTTGCAGTGTATAGGCTATTATTAAAAACAATAACCATTAAAAATGGGTTTATTTTGACCTATAAAACAGGTTCTGTAAACAACTTTCAGAAAAATGAACCCATTTATGACAATATTGAAATTTGGCCAGCATATACAGTTGAAGTCAGAATTATTTACCCCCCTTTGATTGTTTTTTCTTTTCTAAATATTTCCCAAATTGTTTAACAGATTTAGGAAATTTTTACAGTTTGTCTGATAATATTTTTTCTTCTGGAGAAAGTCTTATTTTTTTCATTTCGACTAGAATAAAAGCAGTTTTAAATTTTTTAAACACCATTTTAAGGACAATATTATTAGCCCCTTCAAGCTATTTTTTTTTCGGCTGTCTACAGAACAAACCATCGTTATACAATAACTTGCTTAATTACCCTAACTTGCCTAGCTAACCTAATTAACCTAGTTAATCCTAAAAATTTCACTTTGAGCTGTATAAAAGTGACTGGAAAAAGATCTAGTCTAATATTATTTACTGTCATCATGGCAAAGTTACAATAAATCAGTTATTAGAAATGAGGTATTAAAACTATTATGATAAGAAATGTGTTGAAGAAATCTTCTCTTTGTTAAACAGACATTGGGGAACAAATAAACAAGGGGGCTAATAATTCTGACCTCAACTGTACACAAACTGACTAAAGTCTTGTTGACTATCAAAGTTTTAGGAGCAACCAATAATAACCTGACTTCTAGTTGAACATTTGGTATCAGAAGTGGCTTATATGAAAAGCAAAGGCTTCTAGATGACGCTTATTTTACCTAAATCAAATATGATCATGCCTTGACTTTGAATGATTCAATAAGTAAGGTCACAATAAGGTCTGACTTTACTCAGACAAAAGTCTTGTCACTGAACAGAAATAATGTCCAGTATAGAATATAAAGAATGAATATTGTGTCTGACTCCATCATGAGCTTGGAGGACTGCATCCATACATCTCTGACATGACTCAAATCACTGATTAATAAAGTCATCTGGAATGCCAAAGAAAGCCTTCTTGCAGGACTCCCAGAGTTCATCATCTGGGTTTATCTTCAATGCCTCCTCCTCCATCGTACCCCAGACATGCTCAATAATGTGTATATCTGGTGACTAGGCTGGTCAATCCTGGAGCACCCTTTGCTTTCAGGAGCTTTGATGTGGAGGCTGAAGTATGAGAAGGAGCGCTATCCTGCTGGAGAATTGTCCCTCTCCTGTGGTTTGTAATGTAATGGGCAGCACAGATGTCTTGATACCTCAGGCTGTTGATGTTGATCATCCACTCTGCAGATCTCTCGCACGCCCCCATACTGAATGTAACCCCAAACCATGATTTCTCCTTCACCAAACTTGACTGATTTCTCTGAGAATCTTAGCTCCATGCTGGTTCCAGTAGGTCTCTTTCAGTGTTTGTGATAATTGGGATACAGTTCAACAGATGATCCATCAGAGAACTCCAGCATCTGCCACTTTACCATATGATCGACTGGAAGTCAAGTTATTATTTGCTGCTCTTACAACTGAGATCCACGACTTTTGTCAGGTAGTGTAAATTAAAAACGGAAAAAGGCCTAAAACAGAACCTTGTGGCACTTCTTAACTTGGATGATTCCTTTTTTTTTTAATGGTAAAAAAGTCAATGTCTAACTAAGGTCCAATTTAATAAACAATGTCGTCAGACTTTACTTGAACGGGTGTTCTTAAAACCTTTAAAACCGTGACATATCACGTGACGAATGCAATAGATATTTTACATGCATGTGTTTGGATTGTGGGGGAAACCGGAGCACCCGGAGAAAACCTTCGCCAACGTGGGGAGAACATGCAAACTCCACACAGAAATGCCAACTGGCACAGCCAGGACTCGAACCAGTGACCTTCTTGCTGTGAAGTGACAGTGCTAACCACTGAGCCACCGTGCCACCATGAATATTTTTCTCCTTACATTCATTCATTCATTCATTCATTCATTCATTCATTCATT